ATTTGCATTCATAACCATAAAGTTCAGATCCCTGATGCCGACTGGTCAATAGCCATGTTTTACGGTAGATGGATACACTGTCAAAACTGTTTTGTGTACTTTGCATTTCAGCAAAAAAAACAGCCATGCCCTTCCCTAAACGAAGCCTGTGAGCCGCCAGAAGAACCCCACCACTCAGCCTGCAAAGCTGGCGCAGCCTCAGCATCAACGCAAATCTGAGCCTGGGCTGCAACAGCGCTCCCGGACGGCGGAACGCTTCCCCTTTCCGAAGCGTCAAGGTCCCCGCCCACGAGTTGTGTTGGACCCCGAGCCGCCTAAGCCATCCTGATAGAGAGGAAAAGGAGGGGATCTGTTCTTGCCTCGGCCGGAATGCCCCGCAAAACAGCTCGCTTTCATTCTCCATCCCTCCGAGCTCCTCTGAGAAATGTAGTTTCGTTTCCAGCGGGTCACGTCCAGCAGGTGCAGCGCGTACCCGAATGTTTTACTGCTGTGATAGCGGACCCACATACAATAAAGAGCAAAATTCCTCTTCAATCTCTCTCTCACACTCTCTTGAATGCGAGTTCCCCGTCTTTCTCGGCGAGCTCTCATTAGAAAAAATAAATCCCCTCGCCTCCCGTTTCACGGCTTGGGCAGCTATTCCAGTAGTGTCAAGTTGGGTTTTAAAAACAATTCGACAAGGTTACTCGCTCCAGTTTGCTCGCAGGCCACCTCGCTTCAGAGGCGTCATTCAAACTTCTGTTCCGGACAATGAAGCACTCCTTCTCCGACAGGAGGTGCAGACGTTGCTTGCAAAAAGCACTGTGGAAATACTCATTCCAAAGAAACATGACGGGCTCAGACCCATTCTGGAACTCAGGCGTCTGAACCACTCGCTTATGCGTCGGTCGTTCAAGGTGTTAACTATAAAACAGATCCTCGCACACATTTGCCCCGAGGACAGGTTTTTCACAGATTTTTGACTGTGGATCTGAAAGATCCACATAGCCCCCCTTCACAGACCGTTTGTGAGATTCATGTTCAAGGGAGAGGCCTAACAGTATACAGTCCTTCCGTTTAGACTGTCTCTGGCCCCGTGCACTTTCACGAAGTGCGTAGACGCGGCTCTTTCCTCTCTGAGACAGATGGGAATCCGTGTTTTGAACTACCTCAACGATTGGCTGGTTCTAACCAGGTCAGAACGGAAGTTGGCTGCTCACAGAGAGCTGTTACTCAGCCACTTGGAGCACCTTGGGTTGATTATCAACCCGCACAAGCGTCAGTTGTTACCCAGACAGCGAGCGGTCTTTCTGGGAACTATTTTAGACTCCGCCCAAACGCAGGCATGGATTATGCCGGAACGATCCCTGACTATTCAGCGATTGTCGGCATCTCTCAAATCGGGGATAAATCTCAAATACTCCCCCTAAAGGTTTTTGAGATGTTGGAGGTTTTATTTAGCCCTGAAAACCTTCCTTCCAGCCTTGAAAGGGCACCACGTCTTAGTCCGGTTGGACAGCATGACGGTGGTGGCTTATATCAATCACCAAGGCAGTCTCAGGTCACACACTCTTTGCAGGATGGCTCGTTGCCTCCTCTTTTGGGCACAGAAAGAACCCCTCTCGCTAAGGTCAGTTCATGTACCGGGCAGATTGAACCTTGGTGCATACATGCTGTCCAGAGGCAAGGTAGCCCCGGGCGAATGGGCGCTATACCCTCAAACGGTTCAAGAGATCTGGTCAGTCTTCAGGAGGGCAGAGTTCAACCTCTTTGCCTCAGAAGACAACTCTCACTGCCCAACATACTTCTCGATACAGCGAGATGCTCTGGCCCACAGTTGGCCCAGTGCTCGCCTATACGCATTTCCTCCGATCACCCTGATTCCTCAGGTCGTCAGGTGGGTCAAGTGCTCTCTCCTCCTAGTGGCCCCGCTCTGGAGGAACCAGGCCTGGTTCTCGGAGCTAGTGCAGCTCTCAGCAGCAACCCTGTGGCCCATTGCACCGAGGAAGAACCTTCTCTCACGGGTGAAAGGCATGATTTGGCATCCCCGGCCGGAGCTGTGGAGCCTTCATGTATAGTGCCTTGACGGGAGCTTAATCAGCTCCCAGCGAGAGTAAGCAATACCATTTTGGAGGCGAGAGCGCCGTCTGGTGCTCGTGTCTTGAGTTTGGGCCTAATGACTGTAACGTCATTCTAAAAGCAAGACATGGTTATGTTCCTAAGGTACTCTCAACTCCATTCAGAGCTCAGGTGATCTCCATATTGGCGCTCCCCGTTACAGATGGTGAGCAGGGTCCAAACATGCTGTGTCCAGTGAGGGCTCTGAGAGTATACCTGGAATGCTCTAGCCTGTTTATGCAGTCTGAGCAGTTGTTCGTTTGCTTCGGAGGCCACCATAAAAGACTGCCGGCCACAAAGCAGCGACTTTCTCGCTGGATTGTTGATGCGTTAGCCCTGGCTTACGCATCAGAAGGTTTGCAATGCCCTGTAGGTGTGAGGGCCCATTCCACAAGAGGGATGGCCTCCTCCTGGGCGTGGTTCAGTGAAATATCTATTGGTGAGATCTGTGCGGCCACGGGCTGGTCGTCGCCGTCCACATTTGCCAGATTTGATAACTTAGACGTCCCTGCTTTGCAGGCGCGAGTTCTGTCTGTTTGATGTTCCACTCTTCCTCTTGGGCAAAGTGGTTATATTAGAGCTCTCAGCTACCAGCTTGGGGTGCAATGTGCTCAGGTTTTTAGGGGTCCTTCTTAGTGCTCCAAGACTGGGCTCGCAGAGCAGGAGATCCTGTATCTGCTCATAGCGTGGCGTGATTGGACGCGTTCCCCATACACACAATGTGAAGTGAACGTTCGAAAGGGAACGCTCCGGTTACTAATGTAACCTCGGTTCGTTGTGCCACTTGCCGTGCTATAAGCTGTGTGAATCGATGACTGTCGCTGCGAGCCGACATATATACAGGTCGGCTCCACCCTTTCTGGCGGGCTAAAGCACCATTGATTTGTGCAGCTACACAAACGTGTACAAATCATACTTTCAGTACAGAGTAAAACAGACACACACACAACACTCGTTCCCTTATCTCAGGGAACCGAGGTTACATCAGTAACTGGAGCGTTTCCTGGTTCCATTTCCAGTGCTGGACTCTTCATTTTCTGTTGTGGATTATCTCAGATTGTTGGACTATTGCTTTCACCGTTCTGGATTCATTAGGACCACCAGCTACCGCTTGCAGCTCTGCACTACCAAGAAATTCACCATCTCTGCACCCACGATTCCCACCTGACTGTTTCTCTGTGTTTCTCCTGACTGTTAATAAATTAACAGTTGTAAGTAAGTTGCCGGCGTCAGTCACAAAATGTATACAAATCTTTGTGAGGACGACTGGCAACAGATGGTCTTAAATTCCTTAGACACCGCAGACTACACGACTTTAAACAACAACTGAAAACACTGGCTGAGCCCAAATTACATTCATAATCGGCCTGAGAGTAGTGTGTTCCTGGCTTTACAGAATGAACCGGATCAGCCTGCACTTGGAACTGAAAAGTCTTGCGGACTGATGGACGGGTTCTCTCCCACGTTACTGCAAGTTTTTAAACGTCCTTTTTTTTTTACAGAATTATGCATTGCTGCTGTTTTTAATTTGCAGTTACGTCACTTCCTGTTTGTTGCTGCCGTGTGGTTTGAGTTTGAGCTCCGTCAAGTTAATTCTTTGTCGTCTAATTTTTTATCTTAAAATCAATTTTATACACCATCCTTTTTCAGTTTTATAACGTGTGAATATATCCCCTGTCATATTCTACAACAAAAACAATCAGAGCGCCTTGTTATCACTAGTTCTATTTTTGACTTTCCGAGTCCGCTATTAGCATACAGCCCGCTAGCATCGCCAGCGTGGTTGCCGCTAATCTCGCTTACACTAACACTCTATTCACACACATTACCATTGTTTTACTCAGTGTTACTTGCTTTAATGGCGGATGTGTGTCTACCTTTGAGTGCAGGTGAGGACACGTTCGAGCTGCATCCGGTGCAGGTCGAGCTGGAGGCCGTGGAGAAGCAGATCCGGGACCTGATGGCAAAGCAGACCCAGCTGAGAGCACGGAGAGCCGCGCTGGAAACATCCCAGGCTGACGCTCACAAGTCCGAGGTAAGTATACAGCGCGCTGCTAACTCTCCCACCACCTCTACTCCGTGTGTTTCTCTGCACAGGCCCGGTGCACCCAGGACGCGATCTTCCCAGATGTCCTTCACTCCGGCGCCGGGACACCACGGACCCTGGGTGCAGCCACAGCGGAAGACGCGAGCCAGGTCCCGGGCAATATTACGTCTTATATTGATTTTTCCGTTCTGCTGGTTCGTCTGGTCAGAGGAGAACTGGCCCCCCGACTGAGCCTGGTTTCTCCCAAGGTTTTTTCTCCATTCTGTCACCGATGGAGTTTTGGTTCCTTGCCGCTGTCGCCTCTGGCTTGCTTAGTTGGGGACACTTCATTTCCGGCGATGTCGTTGACATGATTGCAAAGATATTATTTAAACTGAGCTGGATGTTGACATCACTGAATTCAATGATGAACTGTCTTTAACTGAAAAATTAATGTTTACTATTGTCATTTTGCATTATTGACACTATTTTCCTAATTAATGCTGTTCAGTTGCTTTGTCACAATCTGTATTGTTAAAAGCGCTATATAAATAAAGGGGACTTGACTTGACTTTTTCTAACATTTTCTAACACACTGCTGCAAATTACAGGCTAACTGAATGGGTGAACAGAACACACACAAATTCACAGGCGCCTCATGCCTGAGACAGCCTGGATAACATTTAATTGCTTAACACAGCTGTTAGTCAAATTCATCAAGGCAAAAACACATTTTAATTATTTTAGTTATTTAAGATGTTATAATAGTTTGGTAATTGTGTTCAAATAGATTAAACAATCATTATTTAACAAATATTATATTTTTTATAATAAACTGGTGGGAAGGAGGATTGAATGTATTCAATCCTATAGAAACAGTAAACATTTTTAATCAATTTAGGTTTAAAAACAGATCAGTTATTTATTAATACATGTAAGATATTTTTAACTTAACAGTGACATTGAAAAGCTACCAACAGATTACATAAGTTACTAAATTTAGGCCTAAATGAAATTTCAGACAACTGCACTTTACCTTTAATTATGGACACTTTTACCACATATGAAACTTCCTTGGTCAGTGCCTCTTGAAAACGAACCAGAAAAGTTCCAGAAATAAAATTCAAATGCTTTTACTTTCCTGAACTGGGCGGTTGTTATTTGCTGCATTCAAGTACACAACCTGCAAATACAAAGGGAAAAGAATAATGCAACAAAAAGAACATAAATAAATACATTGGAACTGAATAAACAGGAATCAATTTTCATATAAACCATCGTGAATGGACTGTTTTTGATAGCAGATAACTAGTAACACTGTAAATCAAATGCATACATGGTGAAACCTGTGTTTTATAGGAACACCTTTAAATATTATGATGTTGTATCTATTTACAAGATTAAAGATAAAACACATTTTGAAAACTTTACTGTCATTCCTATAGCTTTATATATAGCCTATGTATGTATGCATTTATGTGTGTGTGTGTGCATCAATACTTTGTGTATTTTTAAGTAAATGTGTTTTTGTGTTTTCATTTTATTTTTTTTTGTAAAGCACATTGGACAACCATGGGTTGTAATTAATGGTGCTACATAAATACATTTGCTTTTGCCATTGCCATTACAGTCTTTAAAAAGGGTTCATATGTGTATCTCTTATCATCACAAGACTGCAATCACTAGAAAACGGAAGACTTCCTATTAATAAAGTATCTGAAAAAGATCTACTCTATGAACAATGCATTAAATTACATTAAATAAAGAAAAAATAAATACATAAAACAAGCAAATGAAACGATAACTCACATGTCCACTGATGCCATGTCTTAAGTCCAGAGAATTATAAATCATCTTATAACAGGTGTCCAATACTGACTTCCGGAAAAGAGGAATAACCAATGACATTTGAGGTTACAATTAAAACAGCAAGCTCTGCCCCACGACTGACAAAAATAAAAGTGTTCGCGCGAGCAGGTGAGGAAAGATCGAGCGCGAGGATGTGGGGAATTATGGCAAACCAAAAAGGTCAGAATTACGCTATAGATTAATCGCGTTTACAGCCAAACGCAGACAAATACGGCGGTTTAAACAGTTTACGTGCGTTTTTTACGGCATCTGCTATCAGGCGTTTTGTATGTAAACGCGATTTATCTATAGCGTAAATGTGAACCTCTTGGCTTGCCATAGGGAATGATCAGAGGGTTTGAAATGAGCTCACGGGCTCCCATTTCCAGCATGAAGCATCAGTGGTGCGCTCAGTTATTAAAGGGGTCATATGATGCTGCTAAAAAGAACATTATTTGGTGTATTTGGTGTAATGAAATGTGTTTATACGGTTTAAGAGATTCAAGATTTTTGTTTGTTACATACATCAGAATCAGAATCAGAATGAGTTTTTATTGCCAGGTATGTTTACACATACGAGGAATTTGTTTTCATGACAGAAGCTCCACAGTGTAACAGAATGACAGTGACAGAACAAAAACACAGATAATAAAAAATAGAAAAATAGAACAAGTAACTAAGGAATAAAAATATACAAATCGACAATTGTATGTACAGGTATATAACAATAGACAGTTGTATGTACAGGTATATTATGTGCAAATTGAAATGTAGACTGAGTGTGTGTGTTAGATAAATAAGTGTATGAGTGAATAAATAGTGTCTGTTCCACAGTTATTGTCATGTGAATAATTATATATTACAAATTATTCAGAATTTTGAATGCATTTTAAGAGTACTTTTCCCATCAACTGGTCAAATTGCACAACACTGCTGTATGCTGCGTGAAAGACGCATGCGCACTCTGATGTAAACAAGCGCGGACGAGAAGCGCATGTGGAATAGAGGTGAAAAAGTAAATAAATAAAATATTACAGAAATTGCGGTGTGCAAGTGGCAATGTCAGTATTAGACTTGTGCCGGTATTCGGTAATTCGATATATCACGGTAATGAATATGCACGATATTGTGATCGTGGGCACTTCTAAATAATGTGAATAATTATATATTACAAATTATTCAGAATTTTGAATGCATTTTAAGAGTACTTTTCCCATCAACTGGTCAAATTGCACAACACTGCTGTATGCTGCGTGAAAGACGCATGCGCACTCTGATGTAAACAAGCGCGGACGAGAAGCGCATGGCGGAACACGTGAGAGACGCTCTGGATGAAAGCGTACTTTCACTCTCTGACAGAAGATGGCACTAAACTGCAGAAATAATAATAATAATAATAATTGACAGCACTTTTTTAAAACAATTTAAATACCCTGATAATACCGTACACCGTGATAAAAGCATTAGCAATTAATCGAAACATGAAAATTTGATACCGGCATATGCCTAGTCACAGTTGATCTTCATGAGTCAAATCAAGTCACAGCTGATCTTCCTGAGTCAAGTCAAATCACAGTTGATCTTCATGAGTCAAGTCAAGTCACAGCTGATCTTCATGAGTCAAGTCAAGTCACAGTTGATCGTCATGAGTCAAGTCAAGTCACAGTTGATCGTCATGAGTCAAGTCACAGCTGATCTTCATGAGCCTTGTCACGTCACAGCTGACCTGCCAGAGCCTCGACACGTCTCCGCTGTTCATCCAGAGTCACGTCACATCACAGTTGATCATCCAGAGTCACGTCACAGCACAGTTGATCATCCAGAGTCACGTCATATCACAGCTGATCATCCAGAGTCCTGTCACGTCCTGTCTGTTGCACCCAGATCCTCAAGGACTGTACTTCAGTATCCCAGACTGGCGTCGGCAAGTGCAGCTGGTATCCCTAAACCAGCACTCTTAAGCCCTCCAGTTCCTGAACTGCTTCCCCTGTCTGTAGCGCTTCCCACAATGGGGATCACTTTATGGTGTATTTGGGCTGCGTACACCACCACTGAAACTTTAGAGATGGCGGTGGCCACTGCGATGTCTCCCGAGGTGGCGGCTGATGCTGCAGATCCTTCCGAGGTAGAGGCGCACGCTGCCATGTTCCCCTAGGTGGCGGCCCATGCTGCAGAACCTCCCAAGGTGGCGGTGCTCGCCTCAGCTTCTTGCACGGTGGTGGCGCCCAGCAATGCACCTTCAGCCTGTCTTGTCACGGTCGAAGGAACCATTACTGAACTCTCCCTGTATCCCGATGGTCCTACTGTATAACCTCCAGTGGTGGCGGCATCCGCTGCAGAACTTCCAGAGGTGTCAGTGGTATCCACTTATGAACTCTCGTCCTGTTCTGTTCCGGCCAAGGAGGCTGTCTGTGAACTCTCTGCCTGTCCCGTCATGGCTATGGAGGCCATTTGTGAACTCTTTGCCTGTCCTGTCACGGCTATGGAGGCCATCTGTGTACTCTTGTCCTGTTCTGTCATGGCTATGGAGGCCATTTGTGAAAGAACCGTCTGTCCCATCCATGAGACCATATATGCTCTGTCTGTCTCTTGTGTCTCAGTTTTCCCCAGGTCTCAGTCCCTACCAGGGAGGACTCCTGTTCCCGAGTATAGCCCACGGAAGGCTCCAGTTCCGGAGTTGAGCCCAGGGAGGGCTCCTGTTCCCGAGTTAAGCCCAGGAAGGGCTCATGTTCCCGAGTTAAGCCCACAGAGCGCTCCTGTTCCCGAGTATAGCCCACGGAGGGCTCCTGTTTCCCTGTTAAGCCCAGGGAGTGCTCCTGTTTCCCCATCTCCAGTGTCTGCTCCAGCCCCGGAGCTCGCTCCAGTTTCGGCTCCAGCCCCGTAGCTCACTCCAGTGTCGGCTCCAGCCCCGGAGCTCACTCCAGTGTCGGCTCCAGCCCCGGAGCTCACTCCAGTGTCGGCTCCAGCCCCGGAGCTCACTCCAGTGTCGGCTCCAGCCCCGGAGCTCACTCCAGTGCCAATTCCTCGAAAGCGCTCTGCTGTGCCTGCTCCTCCAGAGCCCCCTCCAGTGCCAGCACCACGTAAGCGCTATCCTGATCCCCAGTACTGCCCTGGAATGGCTCCAGATCCTCAGTTCCGCCCAGGAAGGGCTCATGTCCCAGAGTTAGGCCCAGGGTGGACTCCTGCTCTGTCTGCTCCGTCATGGAGGTCTTCTGCTCCGTCTGCTCTGCCCTGGTGGGCTCCTGTTCCGTCTGCTCTGCCATGGAGGTCTTCTGCTCTGTCTGCTCTGCCCTGGTGGGCTCCTGTTCCGTCTGCTCCACCTTGGTGCTCTGCTCTGCCGGCTTTGCCTCAGTTCCCAATCTCTCCATTTCCACATAGACCTGGCCCACCGTCCCTCCCCCTTTTCTGTCTCTGCTCCACCACCCTCCTGGATGGTATTGTGTTGGGAGTGTCTGGAAGCCACTCCTTGGGGGGGGGGGGGGGCGTTTTCACCACTGCCTGGACCTTTGCCTTGTACCTGGATTATCCTTCTTGCCTTCCCATCAATATACCGGTTTTCCATTGTCTGACCTATGCCTGTTTTTGACCACGTCTCTGTTAATAAAGCCTTGCAGATGGATCCGCACGCTTTCTGTGTTCCGTCCGTTACATAGATATTTTCTTGCAAATTAAAAAGTAATGCATTAGTTTACTAGTTACTTAAAAAAAGTAATCTGATTACGTAACTCGCGTTACTTGTAATGCGTTAACCCCAACACTGAATGCGAGTAAAACTAAAGAGCTGATTGTGGACTTCAGGAAGAGACCGCAGTGGCCCTATACTCCTCTTATGATCAGTGGGACCCCAGTGGAGAGGGTGAGCAGCTTCAAGTACCTTGGTGTAAACATCTCAGAGGACCTGACTTGGACTTCACACATCCAAACTCAGGTTAATATATCCAGGCAAAGACTGTACCATCTGTGACAGCTGAGAAAATTATTTTCTATGTATGCTGCGTGAATATTCTTTCACGCAGCATACAGTGGTGTTGTGCATTTTGACT